TGGTGGGAGTAAAACCCCACGAAACGTTGCGTGTTACATAAAAAGGTTCGGGAGAGATGGAGAATTTTGAAACTTTCCCTGATCTTCTGGAAAAACATGAAGGGTATCTCACTTGTGATCCTGTCCATCCCCAGTTGTAGTCAAGGACAGCACAGTTCTACTACCCATGATAAGTGCTTGCAAGAGAGTTGGCTGCAAGAGAGTTTCTTCCCCTTTCATATAGATCCCCAGATGATACAGAAATCGAGTCATCCTCTCCACTTACCTTCTGGAAAGGTAAAACACTTCTTGCCATAAAAAAAAAAAAAATCTGTTTATGAGGTGGTTGTATAGATTTACCAAGCTCTTAACTAATCCCAAAAGTTTCCCAGAGCGAGTGTTCCTGGATGCTGCCACACACAGGCACACACAGAAAGAGTAGGTCTTCATGTTCCAGGAACCGCTTCATTAACATGTTCATCTGCTGGCCATGGCAAATACCAGACCAATGCTGAAACACCCTGTCTGCTAGTCAATACATGTCATTACTTACAGGCAAAGGAAATCTTTCATGATAACGTACAGGTATGACAGGAGTCGAGTCCAAGATCCATGGCAGCACATGGTCAGAGTTGTCTTCTAAGTTGTCAGAGAAGAGCCCTCAATCCAAAAGGAGATTCATAAGGTACAAGCATAAGGTCAGCCAAACTGATGTGTTAACCCAGTTTGGTTCTGCATCTCTTTGGTCTCTCCACAGCCACCTGGATTCTTACGGTATTAGATATTCCTAATGCATAATTTCATTTGTCCCTCTTTTTCATGAGCCTGTATCTTCAGTTCCTGACCTGTGAAAATTACTGTTCTCTCTCAACTCTGCCTTACTGCTTCCCTTGCTTTTAGTCTGCATCTTGCTCAAGACTAACCATGCTCAAGTCTCTTTTTTCCAAGACTATAATTTTCTGCTGTTTCCTTCTGAAATTAATAATGAACTTTTTTAAAATTAAAAAAAAAACCTAGCAGCTTTCTATCATTTTATGATGTTTTATGATGTTTATCATGTTTTCTGTATTTGCCAAAAGCCCTCTCCGTTCCATTCTCAAAGCACTTTAGGACATACTGAAATTCAAAGTAGAGCTGTTAAGACCTTACTCAGCATTGCCTGCATCTTGCATAAGTCGCTGTTATGTTTTTAAAGACGTTACTACTGTTTTAACAGAGCATTTAATGTCACTGTGAATTTATTGCATTCAAGTACTACGTGGTTCCTGGGGGATGCAGCAAATTGCACAGTACTGGTCCTGCGTCATTCAGCCTGGAGAAGGCGGTCTGGTACAAGAGACAGGGAAATAACGACTTGGTGGGCTCTTTGGGAAGCTCCAATGACCAGGAGGAGAGAAGAGGAGCTAGATGGGTGTGCTGCCTTCTCCTTGTTTCCGAGCGCTCTCGTAGAGCTGTCCACAAGGAAACACCTTTCCTTGCTCGTCATTCCACCGGAAAGGACCCTTAGCTGGTCTGCCTGATGACCCAAAGGGGAAACGCTCCCTCCTCGCTTTCACCCTTGCTTTCTCCCTGATGGCCTGCCCTCACAGAGCCATCGGGCTGAGGGAAGCCAAAGGTTGTGCACATACAAACCCCTCTGCTATACCGCACAGGCCAGCCAAGGCACCCTTACAGCTTCTGTACCCTACAATTTGCTGAGGGCCAAAGCCACCACATTTCTCAGGGGCCTTTACCCTTAGCACACTCGCTGCGTTGCTGCTGCAGGTAGGACAACAGCGGGTAAGCACAGCAGAGTATGTTCTGCATCACTTAAAACAGGGGCAGTCTTTGGTCTGCAGAGCCACCCATTGCTCAGAAGGGCTGCGCTTCCAGCCTGGTGAGTGCCCTGGTTGTCCTCCATTCCCTCACTTCTCATCCCACCCACATTACTTTCACCCATGTGTCATCACCCAAAGGCTACAACCACGGTCTGCAGCTCTATCTCCCAGCTCCTCCACCAGCCTTTAGCTGGAGGGACTGTCTCCTCCATGGGCAGATCAGAAAACGCTCCCAGTGCATGATGTGCAGGGCCACGTGGCGAGGAAGAGCCGCAGCCACCGAACGCGATGGTCGCCAACCCCAACCTCGCGCCACGCACCTGCCGTCGCTCCCATTCAGGCTGGAGGCTTCCTTGAGAACAGACCCTTGGTCCCACAGTCAAAATACTGGAAGTCTAAGTACAGGCTGAGATTATTGAGAAAATTAGCCAAAAAGAAAATTTAGATCTATGACTAAATTAATCCCGAGATTAGCGCTATCAAAGCAAATGGTGTTTATAGAAAGTCTTGTTTTCTTTATATTCATGCGAGAGAAAGTCAAAAGAATGCTAAAGGCAAATTTCATCTAGCAGAATTGGAAAAGAGAGCATGGGGACAAAGCTATAATTACTGGTATTTCCTATCTGTTGAAACCTGTGGGTGGAAAGAGAGGCAGTGAATAGAGTATATTCAATGGCATTAAAATCGGCTTCTTTTTCTGGACTTTAGCTCAACGCTGCAAATTAGCAGGGAGAAAATGAGCCTCAGAGTGAACAGGCAGAGAAGCCAACTTCTTCGTGTTACTCCTTGCTGTTAGAAAAAGAAAAAGCATTTTTTTCTTTCAGGAATTCAAATTCCTAGCAAGCCAGGCTACAGCTGCACACTGACAAGAAGAGAACGTACGGCTGATCTCAAGTGGTTCAGTGTTCATGTGTCCGCACACACACACTGTTATCCTGGTTTCCTTTCTAAACATGTTCTTATAATGAAGAGAGGATGGGCATGCTGTTTAATTAACTCCTGCTTTCAAAAGAAGACGTTCTGACCCAAATTCATCATGCTCCAACTTAGGCACCTGCAGAGGTACCTGGCTTCAGAGCATCCTGTGTACAGTCAGTGGAAGGGATAAGACCCTCTCGATCATGATTAGGACCACCAGAGACCAGAATTGCCATTCCTAGGCACCCATCTCTTCCTGCAAACTACTGCGGGTGCTTGGGATAACTGTGCTGCTGAGCCAGCCATTTCACGGAACTAGGAAGTATGAGTCCACACCTTAACATATCTCCACTTATCCCTGTCATCCCAAGGGCAAATTTCTCTTTTAAGCAATAGCTATTATTTGACTGAATGCCTATAGAAAAATAGGCACAATGGAAACATGTTTTTCTTACAGGGAAAAAAATGTATTTTGCCATTTGAGATCACTGCGTAGACCTGAATCATTCTGAAGAAGTCCTATATCATGAAATGTTTACTTGGTTCCAAATTTATTTTCACAGCAGTTTACAAAACAGAATAGTTTGAGGCTGCATTTTCTGTGAAAGTTTAAAAGTATAAGTGAAAATGGCTGAGATGTCGCTAAGATAAAAAGTGGTGTTTTATTGTTAATAATAATAACGTTGTTGTTGGGGTAATGTAGGGTGGATTGGTTTCTTTTTAAGCATGAAATTCGATTTGAGGCATCTGATGCTGAGTATCTGTCAGTCCCATTATCCTCCAAACCCACCTAAAATAGGAGTAGAGCAGGAAATCCTACTTGAACTAAAATAATAGTTTTAACTGTTCATTTTTTAATGGCTTTAATACAGCCCGTTCTTACACACAGCAATATTGATTTGTATTAGGTTACTGTTTAAGGTGGATTTTTGTCTTAACCATCCCAGAATGTGATTTATAATTTAATTAATACTGCTTCGCCCGAGCTGTAGATGCGTCACTGGAGCAACACATTTCCTAAACATGTTTTGTAAATGAGCTGTGTTTTCACTTTATTTGTTGAGTCCTCCATTCAATGAATATCAAGCCTTAAATGGAAAGCAGCAAACAAGGAAGGGCTTGCTCTCCTCTGCGTTTCTCTCCCCATGCATGCACAGCCACGCAAGCCGCTGCCGTTCTTTCCCTGTCCTTGGTTCGCCTCCCTCGCTGGCCAGTCTGAGGCCAGGCTGCGATCCCGTATTGATTGCAGCAGGGCATTGAAAGGGGGTGCGGCGCTTCACAGAGACGGGCCAGGTCAGAATTCTTCAGGGAAGGGATTGCATCTTTGTGCTTGGTTTCTTTTTTTTTTCAAGAACGTGTCAAAGTACTGTCAGAATTACAAATAAGACTTCTTTTCTTCCTACTGAACTTGGGCATGTTTTCATGCACGGTGGTTTATCTTCACATTCCTCTCTCTCTTCAACACACATGTGGATTAAAGCATCCAAAGGAACAAGCCAGGTTTGGGCCCGTTTAGAACCTGTGTTGTCTGTTTAGGATTTAGCTGCGATTCATAGTTAACTATTTTAAACTTGCCACCGGGTACCACCACAAAATCCCTCAAAATACAAAGCGACTCCTGACACCTGCCCTGGCTCTCGGACCCACCGCTGAAGCACACTGGCTAGTTCTGCATCCCTTCCGGGGAAATTCCCTATATGCCATCCTCGGGTGAGCTTTACCTTGGCTCCAGAACAGATTTGGGCAATATTACCACGCCAGCCACTTGGGTTTTTTAGCTTTCACCCCGAGCCCAGCCTATCTTTAGCGCCGGAGGCCCAGTGGAGAGGCCCAGCAGCACAACCTCAACACATCCCACGTCAGGAAAGTTTCTCTCCCCAAATCCCTACTGCTGTTTCCTGAAGACAATGCTTCTGGCTGTGCCTGGCATAGCTCCGGTGTTGGAGGGTGACACTGGATGCGGGGAGCGGCGGGCAGTTCCTCCGGCTGGCACGCACGGCCTCGCTGCTCGCTGCCCTCCGTCTTTGCCAAGCTGGAGAGGCTGGAACAGGCGGGCTGCACACTGGGTACCTCTTTTCTCTCACTTCTTGCCTCCTCTTCAGAGCGCTCGGTGCCCACCGCGTTTCTTTAACTGCATTTGCCTCGTCTCGGTTAGTTTGTCTCCTAAAGCTTGTTCAGGATTCCTGTGGGAGCTGGTGTTTCCTGGTGAACGGATGTGTTTTTGAAGACAAGCCAACTACGATTTCCAGAGGTCCTCTCAGGAAGTTTGTATTCTCTCTTTTCCAGGGAGCGTTCACTTTCCACGGGAGCATGATCGACATGCCGTTACTGAAGCAGGCACAGAACATTGTTACGCTTGCCACAGCCATCAAGAAAAAATGAGCTGGTAAATGAAGCTCGCGCCACGGGGCCCCAGTAGCTGTTTTAAAAGATGACTATAATACTTGGGGGGAAAAAAATTAAAGGCGTCAAGCTTAAGCAGAAATTCGTTTCCACTCTGCAGCTCTGTCCTAGTTTGCTTGCCAGATTTGCTGATCACTGAAACTATTCCCGCTCGCTCCTGCACGGCTCATAACCTTCAGTGAAGTCGCGTCACCGGCTGGGTGACATCACGATCATTGCTGCCGATTATTATGACTTCACTGAAGGAGACAGGCAAAACGTAAGCTGTGAGCTCCGTTAACAGAGCAGGCAGCTGCCGGGCCGATCGCTTCCGTTTGTCTCTACGCTTCTTCCCACCCGGGTGCAGAAGTCCTGTCAGAAAGGGCAACGCTTGGAATAATCACGCACCGGTTGAAATGATCACGATGAAAATCATCGCCCTGTGCGGGCTTCTCATCCTCCTCTCCCCCTTCTGTAAATGTGCAACAGCCATTAAAAATACCGCCCTGACGATGCCGGGCTCCTGACTTTTCCCCACACGCACACACACAGCTTTTTTTAAGCGGTCGCTATTGAGAGCGTTTCCTCCTGGAAGCGTCCGGCCCGGGAAGGGTTGGACGGCAATAAACTTGTAGTTTTCGGAGACACAATGCAGCAGAACTTGTGCATATGGTCTCGAGTCAGATTTACATCACATTAGGGATACGGCTACAGGTCATGTGGGCCGTGTGGTTAACGGGCTTAGTAAAGCTGTTTTGAAGAGGTTAACCCAGCTTGTAGTAAGGGTAAATAAACATAACAACCAGGCATTGTCCTCTATTCAGCATGTACTCTTATATGGAGGGCTAAAGGGTATTGAAGCTGCAGAGGATCAACTTGTGGTTGCCAGAGGACTCCAATGAAGTTTGAAACACCAACAATCAGAGATTTTGTTTCTGTTCCTCATTAAATCATGAGCTTTTGTGCTCAGACTATGAACGACTGTTCTTTAAGAAATTAACAGAATGGGAAGTTTTAAACTATGCACCAACCTTTTCATGACCTACACAGCAGCAATGCTGCTGCACTTAGACAAACACCGCGGGGAAGGCTGTTCTGTTTATTTAAATTTGTAAATAGAAAACAGTTGTTTTTTAAGTTTCATTTTTCACCGCCTCCGTGCCTGCTTTACGTATGGAGTCACAGTGGCTTATTCCTCCCATCTGCTCGCTTACTTTGCGTCCCCTCCGTCCCTGAGCTGAGATTTTAAATGTTTCAAGTTATTTTGGGTTTAATTAAGGGAAGAGGAAGGGAAGGGCAGGGGGAGGGAAACACCGACACCAAAAACCACCGGTCAACCTTCGTGGAAGCAGCGGGGAAAGTGAGGGCGGGGGGCAGTGGAAGCGCCGGGGAGCAGGATGGGGGGTCAGTGTGTTCTCCCAAACACACCCCTCCAGCCCCATAGCGCTGTCGGGCCCATCCGGGGCAGCACCGGGGAGGTTCTGACCCCTCTCCGCCCCTCTGCGGAGTTTGGGGATGCGCTGCGCAGACCGACATCCACCCCCCAAAACCTCACGCCCCGCTCCCGTCCCGGGTCGCTGTGCCGGGGGATCCCTGGCAGCGCGGGGACCTCCAGGCTAATTTGATTAATTAAAGACTACCTGCTTATATTACGCCTCGCGTTTCGGGGCACTCTCCGTTATTCATTCCTGGCTGGCTAAATGATGGGCATCGCGCTATTAAAACATTATCAGAACTAATGAGAAACAATTACTTAGGAGATGAGCTGGGACAAGCCGGAGCCGGGCACATGTGTAGTTACCCCCGCAGATTACGTTAATAAATCATCAGGTGCGAGGCGAGGCCCGGCGCAGGGAACGGAAAATGAGATTTATGACATACAGGGGTTGGGGT